TTTTATTTATCAGCACAAACACAACATATATATATGTATGTATATGTATAAAGGCCATTTATAATTGTATTTTTCCTACTTGTGTTTTTTAAACAAAGATTCTTTTAATTTTTGAATATTTTTTTCTTTTTGAATTCGCTAGTTCTATAACTATTATAACTAATTATATTTTTCTTAAATGTTATAGATTTGTCTGAAAAACATATATGATTTCCTGTTGAGCAGGGGTTGGACAAGAAGACCTCCAAGGTCCCAACTCTGTTATTCTGTTATAACTTTTAGAAACTTTTAGAAATAGGTTGATAGAATGGTATATGACATGGTATTCCTAATGTATTTACAATATACTTTTATATAAAGGCATTCTAGGCCTACTACATTTTTTATAAAGTTCCCAGGGTGTAACAGTAACTGTTTTTGCTAGTAACTGAATTAATGTTTGCAACAAATTATTCAAAATTTTAATTCCTGGGTTCAGAACTCTATTAATAATATACTTCATATCTAAATTATCATGCCTAATATGCAAAATTCCTAACATTTTAAATTAATTTGCTGTAAATTTTATATATTATTTCCCTATAAACCATATATTCAGACTCTGAGGAATAGTAATGCCAAGGTGATTCTAAGAATCCCAGGCCTTTATTCACTCCATTTTGAAAATTGAGTTGATCAATCCCCAATATTGTGTAGTTCTTCAACTCTTTTAACAAGCTGTTTGACTTCTTATTATTGCTCACCTGATGTCTTGGCACATAGAAATGATGGCATTATCTACCAACAAACTGATTTTAATTAATCCATCTTCCAGGAACTGATACAGAATTCCTGCCATTATTTTCTCTCTGAGAACTGGGACACACAAGTCGTGGTTGAACACATAAAGCTTCATTTGCTCATGTGTGGGAGATTATCCCTCCCCTGTATCCACCATTGCTACTGGTCTGTGGAGCCAGAAAGGTTGGGGACCACTGGTTTAATAGCTGCCTTGTATTCTTTTTGGTCCCTTTTGACAAGTAGAATTTAGCAGATTGTAGTGTTTGATTTATTTAGCAAAACTGGAAAAACTTTATTCAGATTTGCTGTATTCTAAAACTCATCAACTATTACATGAGTGTTTTAGCTTTCGTTCGGGGCTTTATTAAAATTTGTACAAATCCCAAATATAAAATATTTGAATGAATTAAAAGACAGTATAGTGAGACATACTTTTTGGAGGAATAAGTTAATTTTTCTTCAATAAGCCCTTTTTCTTTTAAATAACTAAAAACTATAGTTGGTCTACAGCTTAAGCAGGATATACAGTGCATTCAGAAAGTATTCAGACCACCTTCACTTTTGTCAATTGTGTTATGCTTCAGTTGAATTTTTTTTCTCATTAATCTACACACAGTAACTCATAATGACAAAGTGAAAACAGAATTTTTAAAAATATCTGTACATTTATTAAAAAGAAAAAACTGAAATACGATATTGGCATAAGTATTCAGACTCTTCTTCACTCAGTACTTGTTGAAGCACCTTTGGCAGATACTACACTTGATCTTAGCCAAAAGACCAAGAGGCAAAGGAAAGCTTAAGACCATATTGGTTGGAAACATGCAGAAGAGGCCTTCATCCTTCAGTGGATAGACAATGGCTAGAATGATGATAATGAAATGGCACAAACAAAAAGAACTATATGCTTTTCTGCTTGTCTACATTATTAGAAAGAAACAAAAGAAATAACATGGAGTCAAATTGACTACTTAACTAATTATTCCTTGTTTTTTAGGTATGGCCTGGAATGCTTGTTCCGTTTTTATAGTTATGGGCTGGAGAAGAAGTTCAGACAAGAGATCTTCAAAGATTTCCAAGAAGAAACAAAAAGAGATTATGAATCTGGTAATGCGTTTTTATATTTTTCCCATGATATTGTTTAACTTCTTGCTTCATATTTTTTATATGCGAATCTGTTCTTTTTTAGGCCAACTTTATGGGCTAGAAAAATTTTGGGCTTATCTGAAATATTCACAGTCTAAAACTCCACCTATTGATCCCAAACTTCAGGAATACCTATGCAATTTTAAAAGATTGGAAGATTTCAGAGTTGATGTGAGTGTTAACATTCTCTCAAACAAATTAATTTAAATAAACTGTAAGCACGATTTGTTTAAAAGAACAAAAGGGAGAAGGGCCAATACCATCATCATTAGATGTATCTTTAATCCATCCAGAACAAATGTGCATGGCTGAAATACCAGATGGAGACTGTTGTACAAGAACAAAGAATGCCCTAATATGTACAAAGGTTAAATTCTTAACATTTTCTTATTGTGGCACTAGGCTAACCCTTCAGCTGTTTTTGGTAAATATATAATATTCAAAATATCAAGAACTTAAAAATAATATCATAATGAATTCTCATAGAGCATTCTGGTAAATTGTAATAAGATGTCATTTTCTGTTTTAGCCTCCGATTAATGAAGAATCTGGGAGAAAAAGGCATTTACCTGGTGAGGAAAGTGATCATCGCAGACATCAATCCAACACTGCTTCCAAGATCCTTGCTGGTAATTCCACAGCTGTTTCTCAGACGTGGGTCCCAATAAATTTTCCCACTACAAATACTTTACAGGAGTTGAATAACAGCATACACCAGAATAGTACTGCCACAAAATCAAGATGTGATATAACTGAGCAGTAGACTTTCAGTAAGCTTGAACCTTAAGATCAACTCCTAATGCCAGTATTTTAGCTCAAGGATCTTCAGGGAGAGCTATTTTAAAGCTTGATTAAAAACAAATGTATAGGAAAAAAAAGAATTGCATCTGCTTTCTGACAAGATTAAATTCCAAGTAAATTCCCTTTGTTCAATTATATTGAGTTCAAGCATCATGAGAGATCCTTGGGAAATACCTATTACTCTGTGTTCCTATCCCAAGTTACTGTTTACAGCAGCAGCATTCCAATAGTATATACATAAATACTTTGGAATATCTTACAATCCAGCTCATATTTTTTTGAAGAAGTTATATTCTTTTTGTAGTGTAGGAATGTTTTACCGTCAGGTTATCAATCATTTGTTCTACTTATAAAAGCCAAAAAGAAAATAGTTTTGAGAGATATACAGAATACATGCATTTTAATTGATAAATGCATTTTTTCAATAATAACACATGCTCTTCCAACATCTAGTTCTGAAATCTGTTTTGCTTTCTGTTTCTTTTGTTTCAGGGTTTTGAGTTCAGTATGGAGTTTTTAATTTAGGAACAGGTTGTTTAGTTTTAAAGATTTTTTTAATGCAGATTCTACTTAATCAAAGTAGTCTGCAAAGAGGATGAATTATGACTGTCTTGTCATAAACTTAGTTTTATTTATATATATATATATATATATATATATATATATATATATATATATATATATATA